AGCTAACCAGCCATGTCTTGCTTCTGTAATATGCTTGCTCAAAAAAATTATGTAAGGCAACCTGCTCTCTACTGGGACTGACTGACTCAGAGCAGCAGTCCTCTGTGCAGCTTAATAAACCTCCAATTGATTTGCACTTAAGTGGGGTCCAAGTCTATACTTTCAGGTTGCAGGGGTACAACACTACTAGCAATGAAACTACATTGAGAGGGGCCCACATGGAGAGTAACTGAAGCCTTCTGCAGACAACCAGCAGGAATTGAGGCTTTCTGTCCACAGTCATGCGGATAAGCTGCCCTTAGTAAACCATCCAACCCCAGTCAAGCCTTCAGATGACAGCAACCCTGACTGACACCTTGAGTGCAACCTCATGAGAGACCCTTTTTTGAGTTGCTACTAACAATGAAAATAATCTTATGGTTGAGGGTCACCACAACATGAAGAACTGTATTAAAGGGTCATGGCATTAGGAAGGTTGAGAACCACTGCTCTAAGGTATGTAGCAATAGCTAGATCAATTTTTCATGAATGATGGCTGATGATTCTCCAAAGCAATGCAGGGGAGGCCAACTTCTGAAAAGATGTGTGACATGCTTAACATAGTACCTGGCACACAAACATCAACTTCCTTTCCCTACCAGCTCACCACAGTAGTTCCTTGGTTTTCTTACTATTACCTGTTCATCTCACATCTGGACCAGGGAATCATGTTGCAAAGAGCTTTCCTTCAGATCTGAAGAACCTATGTAGGCTAGGCCTTGAAATTTTTTCTCAGTTTTTAAAGTTCAGGAGAGCCCACCTGTGAAGCTGACAATCTGAGAAGACATTTCTCAGATTGTTTAGGTTCTTGGCTCAAAATTGATGCCACATTAGAAATAGTTGCCAATCAAGTAGTTCAGAACCATGGAACGTATCTAACATGCTAAAAGGCAGGGACTAGCACCTTAGAAACTAATGTTTACTATGCACAGTTTGGGTTTGGAGATCATGATTTGAGCTACAATATTCCCCAATCTATTTATTTATTTGTTTATTTTAGTGACTCTTTGAGATAGAGCCTAATTTTTCTCTCCTTGAGTTTGGACTATCCTTAGAAACTGGCTTCTAAAAAATAGAATGTGGAAAAAATAAAGGTGACTTCTGAAATCTAGGCACAGTGGCCTCCTCCTTGCTTTCTCTTAGACCACCCCACTCTGGGGGATGCCAGCTGCCGTGTTATAAGGACACTCAAGCAAGAGAGGTCCACACAGAGAGTAACTGAGGCCTCCTGCAGACATCCAGCAGGAATTGAGGCTTTCTGTTCACAGTCACATGGATGAGCTATACTTGGTAAATCATCCAACCCCAGTCAAGCCTTCAGATGACGGCAACTCGGGCTGACATCTTGAGTGCAACCTCATGAGAGATTCTTTTCTGAGTTGGTCTGAAATTCTTGACTTACAGAGGTCAAGAGAGAATGTTTGTTATTGCAAGCTGCTAAATTTTGGGGTAGTTTTCTATGCAACAATAAACAACTAATACAAAGACACTTCTAAGACCAAGAGCATTATAGCTAGGATTCTTTTAAGCAAAGCACAAAGCATAGAATACTGAACTTTAGTAAGAGATGTATGTGCGTGTTTAACACACATAAAGTGTACAGCTTAATTGTGCAGCTCAAATAATTTCATATAACCACCACCCAGGTCAAGATGTAGAAAATTTCCAGTACCCTAAGAAATTCTTTCATGTCCATAACCAGTCAGTAGCTCTTCCCAGAAACACCCATTTTTCTGAGTTCTATAACTATAGATTAATTTTTCCTGTTCTTAAACTTAATACATGTATAATACCTGCCTGCCTTCATTCATCATAATCATTTTCAAATTTGTCCATGCTGTTATGTAATTCTTTCCTCTTATTTCTGGATAATAGTCCATTGTACAATTACATACATTTTGTCTATTTTCCTGTTGATAAACATTTATATTTTAACCAGTCTCTTTGCAGACCTCTCCATTCAATATTCTTGGGTAAATTCTTAGGAGTGAAATAGACAGATCATAGTATACACATTTAAGTATCAGTTTCCTAATGTGTGCCATTTTTTACATTCCCATCAAAAATATTTTTTATTCATTTCTTTTTGTTTGAAGCAACCCCAACTTAAAAAGAGAGGAAAAAACAAAAGTTGGTCTTAATGAAAAATGAATGACAGGGAACAAAGAGCTTCCTAAATTATTTGGAATAATCAAGGAAACCAGTCTACAAAGTACAGAGCTACCTGACAGCAGATCCTCCAAGCAAATACTTTGATTTTGATCATTGGTTTGGGAATAATTTTAGCCACTGAGATCAAAGTTTTTCACAAAATGAGTCAAGCAGGGACCCGAATCCCGAATCCCGAGAGGAGGAGCATTTACATAAAGCGTCTTTCAAGAGCTCCAGTTACGCAATCGGTTAGCGCACAGTACTGATACATAAAGCGTCTTTCAGAATGAGATGCCGGTAAATGAAGACTCAAAGGGGAAAGAAGAGTCTCCCCACATGGTGCCCTTGTTTACGGGCCAGCCAGCACTATGACAAATGAGACATCTTGATGCCCAGTGTGGCTCACCCCCAGGCACTAATTCAGCTTTGTGTTTCCCCTGAGTTCTGCTTCAAATAAACATAATCAGCGAACTTCATTAATGATGCACTCTGGGGCACTGGGCTGTAACAGGCATGAGGCTCTGCACCCAGCTCCAGTGGCCAGTCTCCAGCTAGCACAGGACGCTGACCTAAGTCCTGACACCCATGGTGTTATTTTCATGCTTTGTACTGGGCTTAGTAAGAGAAAACGAAGACCGTAAAGCCAGAATATCAATGCCAATCTCAGCAACTTCAGGAGATGTTCAGATGTGCTCCAAGCAATATTTTTTTTCTATTTGGAAAATTCAAAATTGGCAACAATCTAGATGTCCAAAAATAGGAAATGGTTAAATAAAAGTCTCCCCTCCCCACTTCCCTTCCTCCTCCAGACAGTGGGAATCATTGTGTAAAGCAGAGAAACGACACAATGAGCCCTTAGCAGAGTGCTGAGCGGCAGTGTGCTGAGCACGGCAGGGTCGGGGGGCTCCAAGCCCACCAGTAGCAGTTATCTCCAGACCATTCAGGAAAGGGCTGGAGCTTGGTCCTTAGGAGCCAGTGAGTTTTCTTAGGACTTTTATTATTGTAGGTGGCCTAGCTTCAGGGCCAGGGGTAAAGAATTCTACTTTTTTTCTTTTTTGTACCTACTCTGCCAAGCACTGGGTCAAGCCCTTACCAAGCCCTCATTGACTGCATCCCCGCAACAGCGCCATGAAGCCAGTCCCGTTGTCTCCATTTCAGTGCTGAGCTCTGCCCAAGGAAGATAAAAACCTTTCATAAGTTGCCTGAACTAAAAGAAGACAGAATTGGGATTTAAGTCTCTCTCCTCCAAGCCCTTGCTAGACTTTAGTGACAGAAAATAAAGTTTAAAAGCAGTTTGACTCCATCTTTGTGTGTGTGTGTGTTAACCTGGATGGAGTTGAAACACATTTTTCTTAGTACAGTATCACAAGAAGGGAAAAGCAAGTGTCTGACGTACTCAATACTAACGTGAACCCAGTAGATGATCTAATACATACTCACAGAAGAGAAAAACTCAATTCAATTTAGGCTGCGGGAGGGGGAAGGGAGGGAGAAGGGGGAGAAGGGGGAGAAGGGAGGCAGGAGGGAGATTGGTGTGCTCCCTCTTATTGGACACCATGTATATGACACACCTTTTAGGTGGGGGACACAACTACAAGAGGGGTTCTACCTAACAAATGCAAACATTGTAACCAAGTTGTTTGTATCCTCACATCAATCTTAAATTTAAATAAATAAAAGTAAAATAAAAGCAGTTTGAAAGGGGGTGGCTGCTGCCCTTAGCCATAGGCGTGCTCAGCTTGAGTGGAGAGATGGGCCAAACAAGAAAAACCCATGTTTTCCCCTTGAGCTCTCTTCCTAATGACCAAATGGCTCTCCACAGCCCAGTGTTAGCTCATTTTCTTATAAGAAAGGTTTACTAAAAAGCCACTTCCCAGGAGAGTATTGCCTACCTGCGTCCCTGTGGTCCATGGTGACTGGCCTTTGGCTCTAAAGGGCAGTGACTTTTTCTGTTTCTCCCTTCTCCCCTCCCCCGAAACCAGAGAAGATGGCATGCCTGCTATCTAACTCAATTTTCTAGTGTGAAGGAAAGTGACCCGCCTTCTTCATTCACTGTCTTATTCAGAGACGTTCTCCGTCACTAGAATGGAGTTGTGGGGTTTTATAAGCCGCACAGACAACAATGCACTCCTTCAATTTCTGTCTACTCTGTGTTTGGGGGGGTCTTCTGGATAATGGCTGATTGGAGCACACTCAGCCAGTTTGCCCTTATTAAACCGTGAAGGTCGCTTCTCTTCCAGGGTCTGTAATCAGCAAGCCTGTGCTTCTCCTCTACACATGCGTCTCTTCCAGAGCCTTTTGCAATTATGGCTCATTTCTGTAGGTTTCATATGGCAGGCGTCTGAACAGAATTAAAAGCATAAGCACGTGCAAAAATAATCCGCTTCCCAAGATAGTAAATGCTGAGAACTTCTATATTAGAACACACTGCGAGTGCTGACTGGCTGGGGCATGATTAACCTAATAGGCTTAAGCTCTGCTTGCCATCCACATCTGTCAGGACACGAGCAAAACGCAGCCCATAATCCTCAAGACTGAGGCCCTCAGAATCATCCCGCTGCTCACTAACTGCAGGGAGTTCAAAACTTAGATGACAACAGGACAACGAATACTACACCCTCTTCACAGCAGGGCCAAGGAAGTGAGGCAAGCTGGGGCCAAGTTCAGGACGTGGGACCATGGGCTTCGAAGGATTCTGGTCTGAAACCTGCCTGGATGGACTAGTAAGATTGCCTTTTGTTGCTATTTCAAATATAATTCTCTTGAAAATCGTGAAGGTGGGGGGTGGAAGTTGACTGCAGGCTGAAATCATGGGGTGTACACCTTCTCACAGTGACATTGTAAACAGCGTTGCAAAGAGTGGCATTCAGTTTTTGAAAAAGCCCAAGGCAATTCTGCCTGGACGGCAGGGGGCCAGTGAAAGAGGTTCCATCCCTTTGCTAGTTAAAAACTCCTCCTGCTATGATACTGGGGGGTCCCTCCGCCAGGGACGGGAGCCAACAGGGGAGCACCCAGGTTCCAGGAGGAGCCAGACCAAGGCTAAAGGTCTTTGTCAGCTCATGGGAGATCCCGCTTCATGCAAAAGGAAAGATGTGGAAGGAAGGAGCCCAGAAAACAAAACCTCTCCATCCCAGCTGAACAAATCACACAGCCGCACGGCTAAGGGTGTTCCATTGAAGACGCAGGGCTCCCACCGCTCCCAGGGGGCAGCCTGTTCTGGGGAAGAGAGTGAGGAGACCTCCAAATGGGAAAGGAAGCCAGAATCCCACAGGTCGAGCAAACAGTGCCATTGCTGCCAAACCCCGCTCCCAGCTTTGGGGTCTGAAGGCAAAGTGGATTTCCCCGAGCCCCTGGTACAGGCCCACCAGCGCACTTATGCCTATCTGCACTCCAGCCTCTCCAAATACGAAGCAATCCTGTGCATCATGCGTCAGGCCACCCAGACTCGGGAGCTGCTGCAGCCCATGCTCAGCTTCCTGCTGCTGTGCTCCGAGGAGGTCAGCCAGCTGCTCGGGGAGATCTCCAAGGATGGAGAAGTGCTGCTCCAGGAGGTGAAGGAGGATCTGGCTTGGCCTTCCAGGAAAGGAGAGCCCTGGGAGCAGCCAGACCTCCTGCAACAGCTGCTGCAGTACACAGTCAGCAAGCTGCAAGCGCTCAATGGCACGGTGGCCGCGCTCACCGGCAGCTGTCTGGAGGGCTCCAGCAGCTACCTCCACTCTGCTGCAAGCCACTTGGAAAACAAGCTGAGCCTGAAGAGGAGCATGGACGAACGCCTCCTGAGGGCTCTCGGGCAGCTAGAGAGCCTGGCAAGCAGCCACAGCGACCCTGGGGTGCAGGGTCCACCCTTGTGCTCTGAAGACAGTGGTATCGGTGCCGACAATGAGTCCCTGCAGTCTGTGGACAAGCTAGCCAAGCAAAACAGCTGGGACTGTGTGCCAGAGCCTACAGAATGGAAGCCAGGGACTCCCCCGCCTGTGGAGACCAGGCCACCAGGACAGGCCTGGCAGCACGGACCATCCTGGTTGGGTTCAGACAGGCCCCAGGACTGCCCGCTCTCAAGGCCTCCTCTGGCAAAGGTGCAGCCAGCAGCACAGGGGGAAGCAAGGGGCCCAAGCCCCTCCCACCTAGCCCCCGGGAATGTCACCTCCAGGCCTCTAGAGCCGGGCAAAAGCACTCCGAGCGATGCCTTCAGGACTGGGGTGCCTGCAGAGGCACATGTTTCTACAAGCTCCGGGTTGATGCATACTGTGTCCCTTAGTGAAGCCGAAGACAGCAGCTCAGAGGAGGAGGATGAAATTAGCAGTCTGAATCTGTGTGCATGGCAGCAAAAAGGGCCACATTCCCGGCCACAGTCTTCACCTGCTAACCGGGAAAGCCCATTTCAGTCCCGCCCCAGGAGGCTTAAGAGCCCCCAGGCCCGGGAAATGATTCTGAAGATGAAGGAATCCATCAGTGAAAGGATCAAGTTTGTTCCTGTGCCCTCTTCACACCAGGACTGGACTGAGGAGGAGGAGGGAAGGCCAGTGGTCCCTGTAAGACCTAACACAGTCAGTGGTGGCAGGCGGGCCCCCGGGAGGCAGAGGAGGTCCCAGTCAGAGTCCTGTATTCAGAGCCAGGTGGAGGACCCCACCCTCCAGGAGCTTAGGAGTGTCCAGAGGGACCTGAGTCAGAGGCTAGAGGCATTTTATGCCCTGGGTGCCAAAGGGCAGGGGCAGAGTCAGGGGCAGAGTCATGGGCAGAGCCAGGAGCAGACGCAACAGCCCAGAGCTCTGTGGCCCAACAGCTCTAAAGTCAGGCCCAGCAGCACCACTAGCAAGCTCAGGGCATCTCTCACCAAGAACTTCAGCATTTTGCCCAGTCAAGACAAAAGCATTTTGCAGAAATGTAATCCCCAGCCTGAAGGCGAACAGCCTTGGCCAGGGAAAGCTGAGAAACTTCCCAGTGCCACCCAATCAGATGAGGATATTGAGGCTCCCAGGGCTCCAGACAGGGGCTGTCCCACCAGAACATCAGTCAAGAAACTTATTGAAGCTTTCAGTCCCATTGAGAGTGTGAGGACAGAGGGGGATTCCAAGAACTCTGGGTCAAGCCCCTGCCTCAGGAGGTGGGGGGTCCCCATCATGCCACCCAGATTTCCTATTTACAGGGGACTTGCCCCTTTGTATCCTAAGCCCCAGATTTCCCCAGCACTGGGCAGAGAACCTCCCAGAGTGGGCACAGGCTGGAGGCCCATAGCACCTATCTTTCCCCCCATGCTTACAGCAGAAGCACCCAGGAGTACGGACATCAGCTATAAAATGGAGGGGGACCAAGAGCACCTCCCTCCACCACCTCTGGAAGTTATGATGGACAAATCATTCACATCTCTGGAGTCCCCAGAGAGCAGTAAGTCAGCAGAGAGCTCCCCTGAAGGGACCCCAGTACCAGGGCTGGGAGGAGCTGGCACTGCCAGGAGGAGAACGTGGGCTTCTCCAAAGCTGAGAGCCTCCATGAGCCCTGTGGACTTGCTGCCCAGCAAGGGCACTGCCAGCCCCCCTAGGTCCCGCAGCACAGGGCCAGCAATCAGCAAGAGCAGTCCCAGAAAGCCTGCCTTGGACCTGAGCCACCCACCAGCCACCAGCCAAAACCCAGAGGCGGAGGGCAGCGCTCAGGGCCAGGGACAAGCAGAGAAGGCCCCAAGCCTCAACCAGCAGCCCCGGAGGGCAGTGCCCTGGCACCACTCCAGCCACACATCTTGGCAGAACAGGACCTCAGATCTCAGCCTGGCTAGACCAACACAAGGGCCACGTTCTCCAGAGGCCCCAAGGCAGAGCCGAGAGAGAAGCTCCCCGACGGCCAGGAAGGCCTCTCCCACAAAGGCACACTGGGTGCCCCCAGCAGACAAGACACCCCCGAGCCTGCCCTCCTCTCACAGACCTGCCCAACCCAGTTCCCCCACTGTGCAGGGGTCCCCTAGCCCCCCACTCAGCCCTGGAGTCCCCAGCCCGCCAATGAGCCCCAGGGTGCTAAGCCCTCCAACAGGGAAGAAGCGAGCTTCCCCCCAACGCCAGCACAAGGCCTCCAGCCCTCCCACCCAGTGCCCAGAAGCAAGCTCCCCTTCCTCTCTTCCCTCCCCATCATCCCCAGTGTCCCTGTCTCAGGGGCACAAGGAAACAAGAGACTCTGAAGACAGTCGAGCTGACACTGCCCAAGTTTCTGGGAATACATGTTCCATATTCTGCCCAGCAGCCTCCTCTCTGTTTGAAACTAGATTGCCACTCTCAACAGCCCAGTCGCTGACCCCACCAGAGGCTGGGGGCCCTCTCAGGAGCCCAGCAGGAGGCTGGAGGAGCAGCTCAGGGCCTAGGCTGAGGGCAGATTCACAGAGGAGAGGGGCTCTGTGTGCCCTCAACCCTCTGCCCTTCGTCAGGAGGACAGCTTCTGACCGTCGGCCGGGTGCCAGACTGCCACTGCCTGCCTCCGGCTTGACTGGCACTTCTTGTGACTCTCAGCTCAGCCAAAGCAGGTAAGAAGTATCCTGGGGCCACTGCCCTTCTGTTGCTTGGCATAGGGACAAGCAAAGCAAGCAGCCCTTGGGGCTCAAACTCAGGCAGGTGGAGCAGAGAGGTGTGGGGGAGCTCCAGCCTCCTCCCACCTGAGTCAGAGTGTTCTGCCTGCTACATCATGCTTCAGGTTCTGGGGAAGGTTTTAATTGAAAAGAGGGTCTGCTGTATTAGAAATAAAGCCCCAAACAATCAAGTTTGTCCAACCCCACCCGCTTCTTATTTTACAGCTAGGGAAAGTGAGATGGACCAAGTTCCCCCATGTGGTTGGCCGGCTGCCACCCTGTCTGGGACCAGCAGCCTAGCTTCTGTTGTTTGTGGTTCACTACAGTGGACCAGCACCCCGGTGGGAGGCTCTCAAACTATGTGCTCCCAGGGCACAGAACCCAGAACCCACACAAAAATGAGTGTGAAGGACAAGTGACATCTTAGTATAGTGCTGAAAGTAATTTTGACTTCATCAGGCCCCTGGAAATGTCTCGGGGATACGCAGGGGTCCCCAGACCACACCTTAAGATTGGCTGGCCCTGAAGATACAGAACATAAATGTTTGGCTTCCCACCCCCACACACTGGCTTGATTTCTCCTCCAACTGCAGGGGTTTGTGGAGTAAGAACAAGACTTCCTGAGTGCTGAGCACCAAAATCTAAGTGAGGCTGAGTTCCAAGTGTGCCTTCCTCCCAGGGCAGTGACGTGCATGTCATGGACACATCTGTGCAGACAGGCCTGGCCCATGGTGCCGGTGGGGCATGAGGCACAGCAGCGCCACGGCAGGCCACTGAGAGGACTCCACGTTAGGTGGTTGTTTTACAGAATCCACAGGGAAATAGGCCTCTTCCGGAATGGTGGCATGGTGGGCAACGTAAATCTGAGGCCTCTGAGAGAACTCTTCTCAATGCGTCTTTTATGTTAATTATCTAGATTTTTTTATTTTTTTAATTTTTATGTATTATGGGTACATAATAGTTGTACACCTTTACAGGGTACATGTGGTGTTTGATGCAATGGAGATTAAACAAGGCAGGGTAATTAGGGTGTCCATCACCTCAGGTATTTCTCATGTCTTTGTGTAGGAACATTCTACTCTTCTAGTTATTATAATGTATACCCAAACTTATTGGTGATTATGGTCACTTTGTTGTCCTGTCAAATATTCTTTGTTCTATCCAACTACATTTTTGCACCCATTAACCATCCCCCTCTTCATCCCCTCTCCCCCCCCCTGCCCACCACCACCACCCCTGCTACCCTTCCCAGCCTCCGGGAACCATGATTGTACTATCTGTCTCCATGAGATCTATTTGTTTTTAATATTGAGTTCCCACATATGCATGAAAATATGCAAGATTTGTCTTTCAGTGTTTGTCTCATTTCACTTAACATAATGTTCTCCAGTTCCATCCATGTTGTTTCATTCTTTTTTGGCAGCTCTCCGTGTATAATATTCCATTGTGTATATGTACCACGGTTTCTTTATCCATTCATTCATCAGCGGACACTTAGTTTGATCCACTTCTTGGCTATTGTGAATACGGCTGCAATAACACACGAGTGCAGATATCTTTTCCACATCCTGAATTCCCATCCTTTAGTTATACACCCAGCAGTGTGACTGCTAGGTCAGATGGTCGTTCTATTTTCAATATTTTTCAGTTTTTTGAGGAGTCTCCATTCTGCTCTCCATAGTTATTGCACTAATCTAGATTTCCATCAACAAGGTACAAGGGTTAACCTTTCTCCACACCGTCGCCAGCATTTATCACTGCCTGTCTTCTTGATAAAAGCCATTTTAACTGGGATGAAATGGCACCTCATTATAGTTTTGATTTGCATTTCTTTGATGACTAATCACGTTGAGCCTTTTTTCAGAGACCCGTTGGCATTCGTACGTCTTCTTTTGAAAAAATGCCTATTCAGATCCTTTGCCTGTTGTTTAATGGAATTATCTGATCTTTTCCTATTACGTTGGTGGAACTCCGAATCTATTCTAGCTATTAATCCCTTGTCAGACAGGCAGTTTGCAAATATTTTCTCCCATTCTGTGGGCTGTGTCTTCGCTTTGTTGATTGTTTCCTTTCCTGTGCAGAAGGTATTTCGCTTACTGAGAGCCCAATTGCCCAATTTCACTTTGGTTTCCTATGCTTTTGATATTACTCAAGAACTCCTTGCCCAGACCAATGTCCTGAAGCATTTCTCCAATGTTTTCTTTTAGTAGTTTTATAGTTTCAGGTCTTAGATTTAAGTCTTTAATCCCTTTAGATTTAACTTTTGTATATAGCAGGAGATAAAAGTCTAGTTTCAATCCTCTATATATAGATACCCAGTTTTCCTAGCAACATTTATTGAAGAGACTGCCCTTTTAGCACTCTATATTCTTGGCAACTTTGTCAAAGATAATTTCACTATAGATATGTGGACTTATTTGGGGGCTCTCTATCTGTCCCACCGGTCTATGTGTCTATGTTTATGTCAGTACTGCACTGTTGGTTACTACAACTCCGTAATATAAGTGGAAGTCGGGTAATGTGATTCCTCCAGTTTTGTTCTTTTTGCTCAGGGTGGCTTTGACTATTCTCAGTCTTTTGTGGTTCCATATAAATTTGGGGATGACTTTTTCTATTTTTGTGAAGAATGTCATTGGTATTTTGATGGGGATCGCACTGAATCTGTAGATTGCTTTGGGTAGTAAGGACATTTTAACAATATTGAGTCTTCTGAACCACGAGCATGGAATATCTTCCCATCTTTTTGCATCTTTTCCACTCCTTTCAGCGACGTTTTATAATTTTCATTATAGAGATTTTTCACCTCTTTCATTAGATTTCTTCTTTGGTATTTCATTTTATTTGTAGCTGTCGTAAGTGGGATTACTTTCTTGGTTTCTTGCTCAGATTGTTTACTACTGATTTCTGTACGTTGTCAGTGTGCCTTAATATCAGATCAGATAATCGCCACCAGTCCCCCCTATCTTTGTCTTGCCCACAATTGTGTAAATCACCAGTTAAATTCTGCCAGAATGAAGCATATTGCAAACTTTACTATGCATCATGGTAATTTTACCAGGGGTACATGGTAATTTTTTACAAAGTTTTCAGCAGTCAATTTTTTGTTGATTTATTTTATTTTTGAGACATAGTCTTGCAGTATTGCTTGGGCTAGAGTACAGTGGCCTGATCATAGCTCACTGCAACTTCAAAACTCCTGCAATCAAGCAATCCTCCCCCCTCAGGCTCCCAAGTAGCTGGGACTATAAGCACACACTATCACACCTGGCTAATTTTGGTAATTTTTTGTGGAGAGAAGGTCTTGCTATGTCCACAGTCAATTTTAAATAAAGATATTATCTCAGGAAAGCTGTGCTTTATTATAGTTAGATAAACTTCCCCCGCCACTTGAAAGAAATGAAATATTGATTATTTTTGCAAGAATCTTAATGTAACGTTCCTCTTTTCTTAAATCTAAAATGAGCTTCCTACAGCACAGTGGTTTTCATCTAAGAACCTCTATAAATGTTAATACATTATTCCTCACTCTAACCACTTATTCAGTTATTAGATTTCTAAAACTGTGCCCTTCAGGAGAGGAGCTTGAGAGAACAAGGACGATAAAATGGCATTAATTAAAAACACTAACGTTTTAAACCAGCAGGAGCAATAATAAAGTAACATAAAATTGTTCAAGAAGAAAATAATGCCCTTCTCTCAGGCTTCTCCCTGGAACAGGGCAGCCTAAAAGGTTGTTTTATATCCTGAATCTCAATACTTGGGGCGGGATGGGAGGAGGTACTTGTGGCTTAAAAGAGAGAGGAGGATACTTAAGCAGAAGCCTTCCCAAGGTCACGTGGAAGGTCATATAATGACTCGCACCCACTCCCCTCCTCTTACTATGACCACAGACCTCTAAGCCATTCCAAACTGTGAGCACATGATGGGGAGTGCTCATTCCCCAGCTTCACTCCCACTCCACCAGGTGCAAAGTTTGCACAGGGGAGCAGAAGTATGCCGGCTCTAAGGGCACCAAGCCTTTGCTGCTGTGTAAAGGGCAGGGAACGATACCAGGGACTGGGCATGATTTTCACAAGATAGTGTAATAAGCCAGTGCCAGGGAGCCAGGGACCGCCCAGAACAGGCTATTTCCCCAAGCAGGGACTTGCGGGAACACGGGCACACCCACACATCTTGCTGTGAATGCAGCTTGCAAGGTGAACAGGCTACACCAGCCTGGGTACCCTTCTGGTCACCCTGTACTAGACATGAGCCCTCTTTTTTAGAAAAAAGGATGATGTTTATATGCTCCCGATCCTGGGGCCCTGGGGGTTGGGAACAGTCCCTGGAGGCTTGCCCAGGAAGCTCAGTGACTAAGCTTCAGCTGTTATTTATATGTTGACTCCACTAGTGCAGGTGCCAGTCTCTGGGTCTCGGGATTTGGGGGACCTGTGTGCACTCAAGAAGGGTCTTTCTCCCCTAAATGCAGCACTTTCTTTCCCTGGCCTGGACTGCCTGGGCAGGAGCTCTGCAGCCTCCACTCAGCCTTCCAGGTCAGGCCACTCATTGGCCAGCAGGGCTGGGGGAGGGAGGGAACAGTCTGCCTCCCCAGCAGTTCTGGGAAGGGGCAGAACCACAGCCACGTGTTAACAATCAGGAAAAGCAACCCCTTAGCCCAGGCCTCACGCAGACATGGATCCCGTCTGGAGTTAGGGAAGATACAGTTCTAGACCAAATTGTGCGCCAGGCCACAATGTCAGCCTCTGCAGAGCTGCGTGCCACAGCCTTGCCTCTGAGCATGGCCCCCTCCCATTCCTCAAGGGTCAGTTGGTGGGTGAAAGGCATCCTGCACATGTGACCCCTGCTTCAGGAGAGGCTCAGAGAGAAAGGAGGTGGGAACTGTGACCCACCGAGCACACTGGGCCCGCTGAACGCCTGCAGGGACCTGTGATGGGGTCAGAGGCTGACACAATGAAACTGGCTCTGAGGCACAGTGAGGGGCTCCTCCTTGCATCTGTCCCACCTATCCCCTCCCCCACTCCCAGCACCTTGGTCTTGTTTAGATCCAGGCACAAACTTGTCCTCCCCTGGTTGGCATCCAACGTAAGCTTCACTGCACAACACTGAACACACCATGTAATAAAGCTCATGGGCAGAGGGAAGGGCCTTCCGGTGGTCCGTGCGTGGGGGCCTGGGGTCCCACCTTGGCTGCTCTCTGAGCCTCCAGCGCCCACCCTAGTGTGATAGGGTGGTCCCTAGAGTCCTTTCCCAGTGTGACTTCCTATTAATTCTACCGTGCCGCACCATAGTGACAGCTACTGTTCACTGAGCCCTTACCTGTGCTGGTCAGCATGCCAAGAATTGTACACGTTCATCCAATACTGATACCCGTGAGTGCCCAGTGAGATGGAAACTATTATTATTTCCTTTTCATAAAGAAGGAAACTGAGACTCAGAGGCACTAACTAACATGTTACGTGGTACACAGCTGGCAAACAGAAGAGCCAGGACTTGAACTCAGGCAGTCAGACTCCAGGCTCCCTGCCCACAGCCAGTGTGACTTTCTGAGCTGGGCCCTGCTGGCCTAGGCCTGCTCTGTGCTGTGACCCCCTCCAATCCATGCTCCCAACAGGGTTCAGTCAGGCTGAGGCTCAGGCAGGGCGCTCCCCATTCAAATCCCCTCTTGACTGTCTCTCAGCAGCTGGGAAGCTCTGTTCTAGATAAATGCCTGGCCTGGGCTGGGTCAGAAGTTCCCATTTCACTCTATTCAGGAAAAGGCAGCTGCTCAAAGCTTTTTCTCTTTGTTGTTTTTGTTAATTCAACTAGCTAAGCCTAGCTATTTATTAAACAAAAAGTACTTTAAAAATAAAAACAAAGGCTCAGTGCCTGTGGCTAAAGTGGCTAAGGCACCAGCCACATACACCTGAGCTGGCGGGTTCAAATCCAGCCTGGGCCCACCAAACGATGACAGCTGCAACTAAAATATAGCCAGGCGTTGTGGCGGGTGCCTGTAGTCCCAGCTACTTGGGAGGCGGAGGCAGGAGACTCGCTTGAGCCCAGGAGTTGGAGATTGCTGTGAGCTGTGATGCTACAGCACTCTACCCAGGGTAACAGCTTGAGGCTCTGTCTCAAAAAAAAAAAAACCAAACAAAAATAAATAAATAAAAAATAAAAACAAAGTACAGGCCCCGCCTCACAGAGCTCCTGAAGGAGTTGCTTTGTTCAAAGCAGCAGGACATCAGGAGACCGGTCAGGACTCAGCCTGTCCTGAGCTCTCACAGTGCCCACCAGACAAGCACCAGCCAGGAACCCCACACAGGTAAACTTGACATGGAAAGGCAAGGCTTGGCACCGAGGAGGACTGGCTGTGTGTGGGAGCGGGCAGTGGGGCCGAGAAAGGGAGCATGGAGAGGCCAGAAGGGACAGCAGAGAGGCAGGGTTTGATGTGCCCTTGTCCTTTGTCTTGGCAGTAGCAGTGAGGAGAGCCTTGGGAAGGACACAGAGCCCTGGAGCAACCCCTCTGCCCCAGAACTGCAGGGCAGCAGCAGGCATGCACCTCCCCCAGAGCTCTGCGTGCTGGGCCACGGAATGCAACGGGAGCCCCGAGGAAGCCACGCCCAGGAGAAATCCCAGCCAGAAGCACAGCCCCAGCAGAAGGAGGCGGCCTGAGGGACTGGCCAGCAGAATCATGCTGACATCAGTCATCCCAGAGGCAAAAAATGACAGCCCAGTGTCCAGCCTGCCCCACAGATGATGGGCAAATCAAACTCCTACTGAGGTGTCTTGGATAGCTTTGGAAGTGCACTACCCAGCAAGTCTGCTAAATTTTCAGTCCCAGATCCTGCTTTGCCTGGGGGTTCAAAGGTCAAACCGATCTTTAGACCCCACAATGATACTTCAGTCATTCCAGGGCTGGCCTTAAGGGGTGGGGGGGGGGGAGGTGTGTGCTATTGCATGCATGATAGCCAGAGTTTTACCTGGTTAACTCCATGAAGTCATTCAAGCCTCACAATGAAGTAGACAGCATTCTCCAGTTTTGCAAATGTGAAAACCAAAGATGTGGAGAGACGGATCCCCAAGTGTCTTGCCTGAGATCATACAGCTAAGAAGAAAATAGAAAAAAAAATTGTACAGATATGTCTGGGACTAGAATCTCTGCTCTTTTTTGTAGCATTTCTCTCTCAAGATATCCCATCACCCCCACCTGCCTGAAGTATGTATGGTTGTATGAATGTCTGGGAAATTTTGCTTTTTAAGATTTATGTTGTGGCACAACATTGAAGGCCCCATTAAGAGTCTTGTCTAGAAGCTAATTGCTCCCAAGATGAGAAGACTGAGGTGGGATTAAAACACACTGTCTCATCCACCCTCTGTCCTCTCCTCCCTTGGGAGTACCGTTCAAGTGTTATAAACTTGAAGCCGTGGACTCACAATGCCAGCCATGGTACCTCTGGCCTAAGTACACAGCAAATGCTGTCTCCTCCTGACACTTCCACATGCTTCCCGGCTGAGTGGGTACAACCACGCCTCCCTAACAAGGAGGCCTATTCTCCACAACCCGTGGGTGGGGCGCATACTCTCAAATCCCAGGCCCCGTGGAGGCTTCTCAGCCAACATTATTCCCAGGTCATCTGCAGACCCTCTGCTGGAGTGGAAATTCTAGTAAAGAAGGGTCAGTCATGCCAAAAACTGCTTTTGCCAATGAGCTAGATGTGCAGGTCTTGGGATTTTCCCACTGGAGGCTGAGGTGTGCTTTCTATTTAGAATAGATTTTGAACTGATTGGGTAATTTAATGCTGATTCAATGGGTTGTCCAAAGACAAGAATTCTTACCCACAGGGTCCAGCCAAGGGACAACCCTCCAGATCTGTTGCAAAGTTGACTTTTTAAGTTTGGGAAAATTATAGACCTCAAATCCTTTCTTGTTGAAATAGATCGTGGACTCCAAAACTTGTTAACCTGGGTCCTAGAGAGTTGTGCTGCCTCTCTCAGAGAGAGGCTGTGACTTGGAGCAAATGAATCCCACCTCAACCTGCCCAGTATTATTCAGAGGCACCCAAAGAGCAGTTGACTATACTACCAAGAGGGGCCACACCCACCGCTCCTGGAAAATGTCTCCACATGCCCAGCAATGTGCTCACGCCCTCGTCTCAGAGCAGTTCTCAGGCAACAGCCAGGCCAGGCAGCTCTGGGGCTGAGCCACACCCACTGCTGGTGGACACTCAGGAACCGCCTAGGCTGCTGGCAATGGCAGGGAGCCCAGCTACCCAGGCAGTGCAGGGGCTAAGGCAAGTGTGTGAGAATGAACCAGATTCAGGAAACTTCTGGACAGAGATTTGGGCATTCTACCTATAGGGCTGGGCAGGCAGCAGGGGTCACTGGCAGATGAGCCCTGAGTAAGCCAGGTGCGGGGCCCAGCAAGCGGGAAGCCCATGTTGTGGGTAGACTTTGAGGACTGGTTGGAGAGTGGACCCTTCCCTGGACTAGAGTTTAGGGGCTGGATTTCCAGAGGTCTGGAGAAACAAGGGTGAACTCAAGCTGCAGGGAGCCTGGACAGGGACACACAGTAGGTGGAATTCGAGTTCAGTGTGAGGGGGCAGTCACAGGAACAACAGAGCCCGGTTACTGGAACCAGAATAGAAAGTGGACCCAGAAACGCAGGGAGCAGATGTAGGGCTGGGTTACCAGCTCAGACCTCTCCCTAAAGGGCCTCATATCAGAAGTCATGGCCTAGCTGAGGGCGGGTGCCCCCGACAGGGGCAATGCAAGCTAGGGGGGCAGCTGGGAGCCAGGCTGTAGATGACACACAGAGGGGGTCAGCAGCACAGAGAATGCAGGTAAGGGTCTGGAAGGAGCTACTGCTGCCCTCCAGGCACACACAGCAGAAGGCTCTCTGGGACTGGAGTTTGCCCTTTCCCTGGTGAGCAGCAGCAAGCACCCTGCCTGTGTCAGAGGGAGCAGAGAGGGGATGGGGCTCCAGGGTTCCTGCTGCCAGCCATAGAGCAGCCTGTGATGCTCCTTAGTCACTGAACCCCTACATGTGCCAGGACAGGGCTAGGCTCCAGCCACAGGCCCCCACATGTGATCCAGTGAGAGGCCCCAGCTGCCACCAGGCCCAGGCAGCAGGGACAGTGAGCTGGTATAGCCATTACATTGCCCAATGGTGAAGGCCATAGGAATTCCAAGTCCAAGCTTCCCACTGGGGCAGATGAGGGAGGAGTTGTCAAGGCCAAGGGGCTGGGGGTGGGGTCTGGTGAGGTCAAAGATGAAGCAGTGCTGAGTTGGCACAGGAGCAGGTAAGCCAAAGATGTGCTTTTTGGCTACCAAAACCACCAGCAGACTTAGTCAAATTACATGTGTATTAGACTTTGTACTAAAGAAACTAAATGCACCACAATGAACCAGTTTTGTGGCATCAGCTCAGTTTTACACCTCCCAGAGACCAGGTCTTTCCATAAACCCACATCTCTAGCTCTGCCTTAGCACATTGCTGGTCACCAGGAAGGGAAGGCCAACTCCACCCGCCTGAGAATTATCCTTGTCTAGTCAAATCTACTTCCTGTGCTTAAGGGAGAAGTAAGGACCTTTTCTCTTAGTTGATGTTTTTGTTTTATTGAGCTAATACACCCAGTTCATCAAGGACTCGCAACTTGGCACTTTCTCCTCATAGAGTTAAGAACCAAGGAAGAATACTGGGTGAATGGTCAAGGAAGAGCTCACCACAGATCAATTTAAGGGGTGCATATCATAGCCGTATTCTCAAACTTGGGACAGCTCCTTTCTAGGGGGTTCAGCCTTCATCCTTCATACCCACGGAGGCCCCCAGAGCTGCACAGGGGGAGGCACTGAGCCCAACACATTATCGACATAGCAAACAGTTCTGCCCCAGGGGAAAACCACAATTTTCTGGTTCCATCAAAAAGAATTCAGGGAGACAAGAGAAGATATAATATTCTGGCAAGACAGTGATAGCTTTTTGCAAAATATAAATACAATCTTCGAGATGAAATACAACCTCCCTCGGCGGCCTGGCCTGGGCCCTCATTTACTATAAGCGGCAACTATTTTCCTTCCTCACATCATACACCCAGTTCCGAACCTGAAATAGTCCATGTGGGTAGGCCCCTGCAGGGCAGAGAGACCCAAAAGACTTTTCTTTCATTGTGAAGAGTTTATGCCTGACAAGATTTGCCTCATAAACCCTACAATGTGAATGAAAGAGATTTTGAGAACTATATTCTTTTTTCCTAAAATAAACCCATGTTTTGCATGTATCAGGGGAGCCAGTACAGTGAATTATAAGGGCTGACATGTTTGTCAATTGATCATCTGGTTGACGGCTCACAGGCTGCTAAGCACTCGCTCCATCTTTCAAAGGAAATCTTTTCAAAGGTAATATATTTTTAAGTAGCCCCACATCAAAGATTCAGTTGAACTGCCATAAAGTAAATGTGTTCTGAGCCTTTATTAACAGAACATGTTATACTGCACTATCGTTTACTCCCTGTGCCTACCTGAAGTTTAAATAAAGTTCCATCAATCCATCCGGACGTTTTTATGAAATGTAATTAAAGATGCATGGCACAAGAAGAGGCGCGAACCGCTCATTCACTCGGCACTCTAATTCAATTTTATGGAGGCCTCTGGACACTGCTGACTTGATTACGCTTATGGACTTCAGAAAGTAACTTCCCTGATGGTCTGTGGGCCCTGCATTGGGCGGTGGCAAGATGCTCCTAAGCCATATGTCCCCACATGTCATACAGTAAGAGGCCCCAGCTGCCACCAGGCCCGGGCAGCAGGGACAGTGAACTGGTATAGCCATTATATTGCCCAGAGGTGAAGGCCATAGGAATTCCAAGTCCAAGCTTCCCACTGCGGCAGATGAGGAGGAGCGAGCCAGTGGCCAGGGCTGGACACTGGAATGTAAACACCCTTGGAGCCCAGTGCCTGAGCCAAACTGGCTGGAGGGAGAGCTGTAAATCTAACGATCCCAAATGGGAGCAAGAAGAAGACAGAGAAAGAGAAGAGCAAGAGGAAGATGAGAAAGAAATGAGGGATGTGGAAAATGGCCATTCACCCTGGAAAGCCAGAGTTTGGTATGTTCCTGATGATGGGATTCCATATGATGGGATCATATGTTCCTGGCTGTGTGACCTGGCTTCTCTGGACAATGTCCCTTTGTCTGTAAAGCAGTGATAGTAACTCCAGCCAACTTATCCTACCACCTGCAAGATGTGAGCAAACCTGTCTTTTCTCTTTTTTTTTTTTTTTTTTTTTTTGCAGTTTTTGGCCAGGGCAGGGTTTGAACCCGCCACCTCTAGTATATGGGGCCGGCGCCCTACTCCATGAGCCACAGGTGCCGCCCAAACCTGTCTTTTCTAAGCCAGCCTTTTGCATCATCCTGGGGAACTAAGCTCATAATGCCATTGGCCATTTTGGTTTTTAAGGTTCTCTCTGCCACCTCTGCATTTTCAGATTCTGACGAAGAAGCCAGTATCTTCTTCCTCTCATTTCAGAGCTGCACTCTGACCCTTGGAGAAAGTTTAAAATAGCTGTCAAACTCAGCAAGAATTGCCTTCTTTCTTTGAAGGTTTCTATGTCTTTCAAAGTGAAAAGCCTTCAAACATGTGCTTGCAATCACAAGTACATATGTCAAAGATACCAAA